GGGTCAGCCCCACCCCGGGGTGGGCCCGGCTCACCTGGCTCCTGCGTTCCCTTTGCACTTTTCTGCCCGTGTGCAGAATAATTGTATGTGCCCCGAGGCATGGGCGAATGTGCACCACCCACAGACGCTGGGGATGGAAAATCCCGGTCGAGCAGTTAACTGGTTAAATGTTGGGTTAACCTAACGGTTAACCAGTGAGCCGACTAACCGGGATCTGGGTGCAGCGCCCAGCCCGCGGGGCTCCTGCCCCCAGCCCCCATACAACAGGCCAGGCTCCCCGCAGACAAGAGGCTGTACCAGACCCTGCCTGCAGGGTGCCCAGACCCGCCCTGGCCCAGAGGAGAGCAGCCCCTCTCTGCGGTGGGCCCTTGTGGGGCTGGAGAAACCTCCTGCCCACAGCAGATTGGGAGCTGCTCCATCCCCCACTGGTTAACTAGATAACCAGTTAACTTTTCGCATCTCTAATGTGCACCACCCATAGAAACTAGGGATATAAAATCCCGTTTAATCAGTTAATTGCTTAAATGGGATCTCACGGGCAGAGGATGCTCCAGCGTGGCCAGGCCCACTGTGCTGCGGTGCAGGCAGACGGAGCTGGTGCGCCAGCACAGCTAGGCCACTGGGTAACCGGTAACTAGTAAGCATCACCTGGTAAGTGTGATGCTTACCAGTTAACCTCTGACATCCCTAAGAAAAACACAAACCTAGCTGTGGGCGCTCTTCTAATCATCTGGGCAGCATCGGAATCTCTCTTAAGTAGCCGCGCCACACACAGCTTATAGGGAACACTGCCAGCTCCCCAGCTAAGCCTACCCCGTTGTCAGGCCAGATGAGTGGGAGGAAGCTTGGATGTTCCTATGCTGGTAGGTTCCCATGCTGATGGAGGTCCAATCCTACGTGTTTTGCATAGACACTGTTCCAAAGGGAGCACTAAAACTGCAGGAGTGGGCCCTTAATTTGCTTCTTCTCCAGTGATAGCCAAGTGTTAAAGAATGGAATGGTTTGAAATAAGAACCAGCTATTTTCTGCACAGATACCACAGTAGTATCTCACATAAATGAAATATTCTCCTGTTAAGATTCATTTCTAGGGAGTAAGCCTCTCATTTGTCTCGGGTGCTATGTCTACATTGGCAAGATTTTGCCCAGCGCAAAATCTTGCCACCTGTCTACACTGGCCGCAAGTACTTGCGCAAGAACACTGACATTCTAATGTATAAAATCAGTGCTTCTTGCGCAAATACTCTGACACTCCTGCTCAGGGATAAGCCCTTTTGCACAACTGTTCTTGCGCAAGAGGCCAGTGTAGACAGGCAACATCAATTTCTTGCGCAAGAAAGCCCAATGTTTAAAATGGCCGTCGGAGCTTTCTTGCGCAAGAGAGCATCTACACTGGCATGGATGCTCTTGCGCAAAAGCACATCTTTTGCGCAAAGGCACATGCCAGTGTAGACGCTCTCTTACTCAAATACTCTAACGCAAAAACTCTTGCGTTAAAGAGTATTTGCGCAAAATCTTGTCTTTGCAGTAAGGGAGAAGCACTTGAATTTTAATCCTGACACAAAGATGCAAGCGCTAATGCCTGAGCCTCAGATTTATGTAGAAAGAACTCTGGCCCTCATCAAACCAGATGTAATTGACAAAGAAGAAGAAATAGAAGATATAATTCTCAGATCAGGATTCACCATTGTTCAGGTAATATGCTGTACATAAAATAAGGTTCTGAACACTGAGTAATCCTGTGGCATCTTAAAAACATTTATTAGGGCATAAGCTTTCATGAGCTGTAGCTCAGTTTGTCAGATGCATGAAATGGAAGCTTCACTTTTCATCATTCTGAACACTGATTTGAAGTTTGTTTATGGTCTGATAAGCAAGATGCAAACACCACCAATTTGGTTTACTTAATGTACTCTTTTCTACACACAAATGCACATCATCCATCATTTGAAAGCTTATGTCTAAAATGAGGAATGATGTGGAACTGTCAAGTGTGCCTATGTAACCCACACACCTACTGGGCACGGTATACTCTCCCATGTAGTGGCACTTAGGGACTTGTGAATTTCCTCTACAGTGTTAGCAGAGAGCCAGCTGGCTTTTAGCTCAAGCGGTAGAGCAGAGGTGGGGAGCCTTTTTAGGGTCAGGGGCTGCTGATCCACAGAAAAATCAGGCAGGAGGCAGCGGTGGTTGGAGTGCCAGTGCGGGCTCCCCAATTCTGTGGGGGAGGAGCCCTGAGCCCCGGGGGCCATATCCAGGCAAGTCAGGGACCGCATCTGGCCCCTGGGCCATGGGTCTCCACCCCTGCTGTAGCGCTCCAGAGGTCCCAGGTTTGGTTCTGCCTGTGGCCATTACACCATTACTATAGAATGGGGATAAATAATGACACATTATCCATGAGTTAAAATGACCACTCAAAAATATTTGCATTTGTTTCTTTTAGTCTAATGACTCTTTTTATTATTTCAAGACCTAAAATTGGATTTCTTGGTGACCTCAAAGCATCATAGCAGTCTAAAGCAGGGGTCGGCCATAAATAACCCAGGAGACAAAGGTGGTTCGCTAGAGTTAACCCCTGGCTGGCCACCATTGCTTTATTTACCTTCATGTCCACAGGTGTTGCTGCTTGCAACTCCCATTGGCTGTGGATTGCTATTCCTGGCCAATGGGAGCTGCAGGAAGTGGTGTGAGCTAGGACACAGCTTCCTGGAACTCCCATTGACCGAGAACGGCAATCCGCGGCCAACAGAAGTTGCAGCACAGGTAAATACAGTGCGGCAGCCTGCCAGGGTGTGACTCTGGTGAATCTTGTCTGGCCCATGGACATCTGGTCTAAATTGTACAAAAATATAAAAATAATTCATACAGGTATCATTGAAATGTAATAGCACTGATTGCATTTCTAGTCAACATAATTATCATCCTTCTTGTTCACCATTGTGATCTCTGTCAAGAGGGCATGGATTATCACAATCTTCATTGCTTTCTCATGTACACCATTTTGTTCAGGGAAGATTGTTCTGAGTACAGACACCAATAATTGTGCAGTGACCCCTGCTGTTACAGGTACAAATAAGATCTTGTGGAAGCTCAGTTGTCATATGTCCTTTGAAGAATGCAGGAAGCAAATTATCATCCATCTATTTCCATCCATATTGCAATAGTGATCCTATATCTAGTTTACCTATGCATGAAGACATCCACATCTGTTTGCCATGATGTTCCTTTGTCATGTTCTTCAAAACTGTCTTCTCATGGTGGGAGTTGGCCAGTGACTTATCCTTTTTTTTCATTATAGATTGATGTACAACTCGTGTCTCAGGGGAGGAGTTGTCTATTTTTTTTTCTTCCTCTGGTCACATATCAGTGTTACCAATTTCCTTGCCGTATGCCACTTTATACAAGTTTGAAAAAGTTTCTGAAGCTGTAAACACCCTTTGTTTTGATAGTAATAAACAGATTATCCCTCAATATTAAATAGGGGTTGACACAGTCACAGCCTTTGCTACTTCATCACTGGAAAAGCTTTCAGCAAGAAGGAGTGTTTGTGTTGGAGGTGCCCTACCCTCTTAGGTATATTTTGAACCATATGCTCAGAGAGGACTTTTATAAGTGAATGCTTGTTGGATGCCACATTTTGAAACTTTGTCCAGGGAGACACAGAACATCCACCAATCACCTGATATTTCTTGCATCCAGTCTTAGATCCTATCCTTGCTCTCTCTACTTGACGTTTTCAGAGTTACTGCTGTTGTTTCGGTTAGACTTCAGTTACAGAATTGGCTTTGTCAAATTCTTTAGGACCTACCTCAAGTACTTAAAAGCCAGTTCTTTGATTGCATGTAATTTGTTTCCAGATGTCATTTGCATGACAACCATGCATGGGCAGTCAGTGAAAGTAGGGCCAGGGGAGGGGAGGCAAGCCACTAGCCCCACCTTCAGTAGGCGTTCTGGGGGCAGGGTGAAGCTGGCGGTTTGGGAAGACAGTGCCTTCCCCCGCTGAGGATACTGGCCCCCCATTCAACCATGGAGTCTTTCATATATACAGTGATTTTTTTTGCTGGTGGTGGTTCATGTTCTGTGCTCATAGATTTCTTCAACTTGAGCTTTCAGCTGATGCCCTAATTAAGCTTTGCCCTTTTTAGAGTTCCATGAGAATGGGAGAGAGACATAAGCTTAGGCCCTATTGGGTGACTAAGAACAGTTGCTATTAAAACATCATATTTGCATCTTGCTAAGGAGATGGCTGTGCAGAAAACAATTTCTGGACTGATAGCCGCTGTGATTGTCTCTCCAGACTTAAATTTGGTCTAGGCAAGGGGTATAAATATATGTGAATTCCTAAAGGAATGCTTCTCTCTTTGTAAGATTTTGTATGTAGAATGTAGTCTGCTTCCTAGAAGGATTAAATGTATAATTGCCTATGGAGGGAGTATAAGCCTTTGAAATATTTTAAAAACTAGTTTTTCAATTCAGTGACACTTGTGCACAGGTCAGTATTAGTGGTAGAAATGACAATACACAACTTCATTTTATGACTATGCAAAAGCTAAGACAGAATGAAGTGGCCTAATAAGAAACAGTGAAGACAGAGTCCACAAACAAGTTCTTGCTTCTGTACTGAGGAGGGATGAAGAACGTGTGATAGATCTCATCAACCATGTCCTCGACAGTATGACAAATTCATTTGACCCTGAATCACATCCAGAGATGCTTGTCAGCATATCTAGTAGATTGCATGTAAAATCAAATGTAAAAGATTCTCTAATGAAACTAGTAGATATTGGTAAAAAACAAATTGAGATATTTGTGAGAGGCATATATTATTCTGATGGAATGCATAGCTTCTTTAGCCCAGTATAAATTATGGGCATGTAATCTGCTGTTACTGTTGCACAACCTTGAGTGTGAAACTTATTTGGTCAGTCAATTTCAACTGAAAAAATAGAAAACTATTATCACTTGTGGCATTTTGGCAAAAAAGAATACGTGATATGAAAACATTTTATGTTAGTATATTGCAAATGGTTGATATGTCATCTCTGTCACATAGTAAACAGCTTTATCATTTCTGGTAAAAAAAATACGTATGCAAAACCAATAAACTTTTTAATACATTCTTATTTGGTAGCTATGACCAATAAACACCAGGGTAAGGTGTTGAAATTAACTGAAACTGTAAAAACTACAGCCATAATCATGTTACATTGTTTCTAGAACTGTACACAAAATGACTCTTCCTCATATTGGGTCTATAGTTTCAGCTTTTCCACAGGATTATGACACCACTTGACAGCTCCAAATTATGCTTCATTTAAACTTACATAAAATAAACTTTCAAATGATGTATGATATGCACGGGGGGTATGTTAAACTAAAAAAATATGGCCCTTTTAAAAGAACTGCCTCATGCCTAAGAAAAGTGGTTTCAAAAATAGCATCTTGCTACCCCAGATGTATTGGCTCAGTGGGTTCTCTAGAAGCAATAGCATCCTAATGTTCCATATTTATTATACCTGAGAGTTCCATATAAAATAGCTTTATTTAGAAGTGGGGCTGCTGGAATAATTTTTCTACTGGAGGTGCTGATCATGGAAACCATAGAAATGATGTATTGGTGGTTTTTATTATTGCTTTAAGCCAGGGGCTGCAGGAGGACCCCAGCACCCTTAGTTCTAGTATCACTTTTTACAAGTCAGCACAAGATTTTTCCAGCTGGCAGCACTGAAAATAAATCATAGTATCGGACAATCATTTAGTACTCTTTATATCACAGGTGGGGAACCTCCGGACAGTGGGCTGGATCCTGCCCCCTGCTTGGGCCCCCAGCCCAATGCCCGAGGGTAAGGCAAGCCCTGCAAAAAGCTCTTTGGGCTGCCAAAAATGGAAATCTTTTTGTGGGGCCTCCTTAGCATGAGGCCCTGGGCTGCAGCCACTAAAGCCTCTGTGTGTTATTCAGACCTACCTGGCAGAGGGGAGAGATAAGCAGCTCTGTGCATTGCCATTTTCCCCCCTTATCACCGCTGGGTTGTCTCTGTGTTACCGTGAGAGTTGGGAGAAGCTCTGTCTCTGCACTGCCCTCATCTGCAATCTCCATTCCTGCAGCTCTCATTTAGCTGGAAATCCTGGCCAATGGGATCTATGGGGGACAGTGCCTGCCGGCGAGTGCAGGGCAATGCAGGTTGCACTGAGCCACCTGCTTCCCCCCACCAAAGGAGAATTGTCCCAGGAATGCATCCCAACCCCCTGACATGAGGCTCTTCACTCCCAGATCCTGCACTCCTACTCCCTGTCCCAGCCATGAGCTCCTTGTCACACTCTAATTCGCTCCCAGACCCCCCGCAACATCCTGAGCCCTCTCTCACACTCTAACTCGCTCCCAGATCCCACAGCCCAGTCCTCTGCCCCAACCCTAAGCCTGCTCCAGCACTTTGACTCCCACCCAGACCCTGCACCCACACCTAGGCCTCCTGTCCTAAAACCCCTTCAAACCTCTTAGGCCCAGCCTACAGCCCCCTGTGTGCCCCAAATGCCTCAGCACCATCCCAGAGCCCACAGCCCCAGTCAGAGCCCTCACCCAAGCTTCTGCCTCAGCCCACAGCCCTCTCCCGCACCCTGAACCCCTCAGTTTTGACCCCACCCCAGAACTTAGGAGGCCTCACAAAATCTAATAGCCTTGGGCTCCCAGAAGAGCTAATCTGGCCCTGACTACAAGTGAGTTGAGTGAGGGTTTTTATTTTTTGCTTGTGTGTGGCCTCCAACTGATTTTTTATGGGTCAGTGGCCCCTGATAAAAAAGGTTCCCCATCCCTGTTTTATATGTCAGTGGCCACCATCACCAGAAGGATAGATTCTAGCAGTACAAATTGGCTGGTAATTATGCTGCTGCTGCCAGAGGTAGAACAGCATGCAGCTTCTGTAGAAATATTGACTCTGCATTGCTGGCAGCAGGAAAATATTTGAATCCTAGAATCCTAGGGCGGGTAGAGACCTCAGGAGTTTGTCAATAAACTCTCTACCCAAGACTTTGACAACACATAGAGAGCAGATATGTGCAGTGTCAAGCAACAATTTAAACAGAACCACTTTTCTAAGAATCCAGCAGAACCTCACCAAGTATTTTCTATGGTGTGTTTGCTAAGTTCATTGCAATTCATTGATTAGCAATCAGTTTCCCAGTTACTGCAGTTTTGAAACTCTCTGGAACAGAAGTAAATTAACCCTTTCACTTCAAGGAGGTGGAGGCACTACCTGCCTTTGCAGCCTCTGGAGCAGCTCTGATGTAAATTTAGGAGCATTCAAATCAGACTTTATCCTTTTATTGTCATAACTGGCAAAACACCTGGCTATCTGCTACGGGGGAGAGGGAGAGAGAAGAGAATAGCTCTGGCTCTTCCATTGCCTGCTTTCCTGCTAGGCTGTTGGCCCAGTGGGAGCAGGATAGAAGATCAACTGGCTGTGGCTAAGCCTAGGGAAATGATTAGTAAAGGATGTTCTAGGAGCTATGGAGAGAGAGATGTAAGAGTCAGTAGAGCCACACTTTTGTGC